GTGCGTACGTTCCGGTGACTCGCATTAAATCCACGTGCTTTCTTTCCAAGCGAGAACAACGCTAAGCCACCATTGCCCGAAGCAACACCGCGATATGTCGCACAGTTCGCCGACTTAGGACTGAAGAAATCCCTACAACAGACGGAAATGAACGAACGCTCGGTCCGAAAACTTCTCGAATCGAGCACTCATATCCAAGGTCTTTCCATGCCAAGCGCAATGGCCACCGACATATCCAACACTCCTGCCAATCCCGATGTCGATGTTTCTGCTTGACCTTTACCGGAGGGTCGTCCCCCGGTCACCGACTCGTCCGACCCCAGCTCAGTCGATCATCTTGTACAGCGCTATCGAGAAGATCATGCCCAGGATCATGATGCAGGCGATGCCGATTCCAACCCCGCCGACCACCTTGGCGTGGTCCTTGACGAACATCTCCACCTCCGCCCGACAGCCCTTGCTGTAAGCGTTGGCGGTGGTGCAGGCGGCGGTCTGGTCGGCGCAGCACGACTTGGGTATGCTGGTGCCCCACTCGCTGGCCGACTTCACACCGCAGCACTCCAGCTTCGACTGTGCCGTGTCCCACGCCTGCTTGACGGCTTCGTTGGTTGAGTACTTGGCCATCGTTTCCGTCAACTCCTTCTCGATCCTGCTGCCTACCTCGTCGCGGTACACGTAGGCCAGGATGCCGGCCGTCAGCAGGAAGATGAAGAGGATCAGCAGGATGATGAAGTAGGTGAGCAGCATGCACTTGATCTCCTTCAGAGCGCCCACGCAGCCCAGAAACGAGATGACGATCACGATCGAACCGGCGAAGATGAGCAGTATGGCCGCGTTCGAGTACGCATCGGTTCCCACCATCTCCCTGAAGTCATCCTTATCCACCAGCGTCCAGATTCCCACCGTCAGCACCGTCACGCCGCCCGCGAAGATCAGGAAGTTGGCCAGAAACAGAAAGTACTGCATCATCTTCCCGCAGCCTTCGATGCCCTTTCCGAACCCCATGGTGTCGGCCTCGTCTCTTCTGGCGGGTGTGGGATGCGGAGACTAACGACCAACGCTCGGCGGAGCAGCAGCCTCACGCCCGGTGTGTGGGCCGATGTCGAGCGTGGGACCACCGGGCCAACAATGCACGTCCGGCGCAGCTCCGGCCTGGCTAGCGACTGGCGTGGGCCAAATCGATTCACCGGTGGAACCGGGCCTCCGCGGTGGAGGTGGGGGAGGGGGGGGGGGCTTGCGTAAAGACAGCCGCGGGGGGCGAGGGCCCAGCACGATGAAACGGAGACAATGCAGCCGCCGGGAACGAAGCCCAGCACGAGGAAACGGAGATAATACAGCCGCTGGGAGCGAGGGCCCAGCACGAGGGAACGGCGACAATGCAGCCGTCGGGAGCGAAGCCCAGCGCGAGGAAACGGAGATAATACAGCCGCTGGGAGCGAGGGCCCAGTACAAGGCAGCATAGACAGACAGCAGGCTTGATGCTCCTGTCTCGCTGCCGACCGTGTTTACAGACAACGTAAGCACTGCCCGCTACCCTCGCATTCCGCAGGATGTGCAATGCCATGTGAGATGCCATCGGTGCTGGCCCAGAGGTTCTCACCGACTGACGGTGAGCTATGTGAGCAACACAGCTAGCGTATGTAGAGCGGACAGAGCAGAGTTACAAATGCTTCCCACAGCCGTGAAGACGTTCAGCACAGCCCGCGAATGCACTCTGCTGGATTCTAACCGAGCATCATCCTGCGCGGTGGTAATTGTATCACGAACAGCACGCAGTATGACCCCGGTAATGTGATCTTATTATAACAGCAGTTTGACCGAAGTGTGACGGCCAAATGCAAAGCTCCATCGTCGCAACGTGTCAGGTCAATTTGAACTTTTCACCGAGAACCGATGCTTGACATGTTGCATCCATATCATACCTGACAAGGATTAATCTTTTTACTTAGTTGATAAGCCGTGTGGCTGCTGTGGTCCATAGAAGCGCATCCCCATCAATTACAGCGAGGAGACCAAAATACAATTATTGCCAAGTAGGAAGTTTAAAATCCAGGTTCCCACTGTCACTACCGCCCCCCCCCCCCCCCCCCCCCGGGGGAGGGGGAGAAACGGAGCCACCGGGCGAGGGCTGGAATACCACGAGAGCGAAAGTTTGCCACTGCCACTCGGGTTATGGATTACGTTGCGTGGATAACCCGCTGGCGGGTTCGAATGACAATTATTAATCACATTGGTACCGCAGGTTGCCTGGTGACACCGAACAACAGCATGCATGTCACGCGGTCTAGCGGCCACGTGTGCCGCCGGTGCGGAATGCACCGGGCTTTCGATGACGTCACCGCGAGGAAGGCACAAGCTAACGTAACGCGGGATAGGTTGCTGCACGCCGGTATGCTGCGTATACACCATACACACGATATGAAGCGTATACACCGCACACACCATATGAAGCGTCCCGAAGGGTAAGCATACGTAACCTATGAACAGCCATTACTTGCCTTCTCACGCCAACACCGACGCTTGTCGCCAACACCGACATCTGTCTCCAACGCCTCAGCCTTTTGGCTTCCGCAGTAGCTGATGCGCTAGTCAACCGCCACACATCAAATGCTCAGGCCTCTGTATTAAATCTGAGGTATCGTAATCACTGAAAATGGCTCACTTTGAGCAAGGCATCCAAACACTTGCTTTATTAGCCATGTCTTGCCACGAGCACATGTGATGTGCGACTGCATCGAGCAGTGCAGTAACTAAAACGTGGTAAAAAGGGTCCCGTACAAGCACATTTGGAAACGGGGGAGAAATGTACGTACTTTCTGTAAAAGCACTTGGTGTTTGAGCTGTTGGCTCTCTTAAGCACCCCATCATCCAGCAATATAACTGTTTATTGACCATGTGCAGCAGTGCTCAGTTGCTTAAGGAGTTGAGCACTATCGAAGTAAAAAATGGACGTGGAAGCTGTATCAGACCCAAGGATAATTTTGATGTTTACCTATATGGTTGCCACGTTCACATACATTCCTGGAATGTGTAAAGCGGGACGGGGAACAAGTCCCCTCATCTTTCAGGAATTTAGCATTCAACCTTGAAGGCTCTATGGAAAAACGCCTTAAAACATCGATGTTCCTCCGAGCTCTTAACCGAGACGCAATCTCCCTCACCCCCCCCCCCCCCCCTTCCCGATTGTAATGCAGCGGCAACAATGTTGCCGTAGTGTTTTTGTACATCTAATGACTCATACTGAGTATAGGGCTAGAAACTTGTCAGCGTGCATATGGGTTTATATATCATTTTTTACGCCTCAAAAGTTGTCCTAGAACAAATAAATTGGCACTAGTTGATCACAGACGACATAGCAATTTCAGTAAGGGCGCTACACCCCTGCAGAGGAGAACGATGTAGTTTATGTGAAAACGACTTACGCACCTTTTTGAAAGCGGCAGGAAGGGCGTAAAAACTATGTCATGGGTTCAATAATCAGGCAACGCCTGCAAGACGAAGCAGCGCAATGTCAACTCGTCCAGACACGTAATGTCCTGGAAAACATTGGCGACGATGGAATTCAAATAGTTTATTTCCAAACAACACACTTGTCTGGGTTTGCTTAAGAGCGGTTGGCCTGTATGGATCGGGTGGCTGTTGACCTGTTTGGATCGGGTGGCTGTTGGCCTGTATGGATCGGGTGGTATAGATACGCTGACCTATGATGAGAGCAGGGAGATTGACAGAGTGAAGACGCTTCGGCCATAAGCAGTCTTCATTGCTGAAAACTAAAGGCTAAAGCACTGAAGAACGCATGTCACCGAAACTTCCACAGGCCCGCTGGTCTTATAGCAGGTACCAGGTACCTATTACTCTATGCCTCATAGATACTGTACCAACAACCACCAAGACGATTTACAGGAATAACGTGCACCACCATCCAGCGGTCTCTCAGTAACTCAGCCTTTCGCGGGGGATAAGAGTTCTTTCCGCCGGAAGGGACTATTTCAGGGCGGTCGAGTTCAGGTGAGCGCTGAATGGCTGGGCAAGACTACGGCCAACGTGGAAGGCCTCCGTCGACGCACCTTATCACACGCCGGGGCCTTCCAACGGGGGCTTGTGCGGACGCTCAGCCGGCGTTCCCGCATGAGCGGGGGAGGGGAGGACGCTCATGGCTGATGGCCACAGCACGTCCCGGTGAGATGGGGGGGGGGGGAGGGGACGCTCGTGGCTGATGGCCACAGCACGTCCAGGTGAGATGGGAGGGGGGGGGCGCTCGTGGCTGATGGCCACAGCACGTCCCGGTGAGATGGGGGGGGGGGGGGGGCGCTCGTGGCTGATGGCCGTAGCACGTCCCGGTGAGATGGGGGGGGGAGGAGGGGACGCTCGTGGCCGATGGCCGCAGCACGTCCCGGTGAGATGGGGGGGGGGGGGGCGCTCGTGGCTGATGGCCGCAGCACGTCCAGGTGAGATGGGAGGGGGGGGGGGGGCGCTCGTGGCTGATGGCCACAGCACGTCCCGGTGAGATGGGGGGGGGGCGCTCGTGGCTGATGGCCGCAGCACGTCCCGGTGAAATGAGGGGGGAGGAGGGCGCTCGTGGCCGATGGCCACAGCACGTCCCGGTGAGATGAGGGAAGGTGGCGCTCGTGGCTGATAGCCGCAGCACGTCCCGGTGACATGAGGGGGGGGGGGCGCTCGTGGCTGATGGCCGTAGCACGTCCCGGTGAGATGGGGGAGCGGAGAGGATCGAGGATTAGGCGGTGAATGCAGAAAGTACATTAGATGTATGGGATACCCATGGACCCAATGATGCCGCTCAGAATTATTCAAAACGTTCCACTAGCTGAACGGATCTCTTGCTTATATGGCGTGCTCCACTACTATGTTGAACATATTATTATATAACATCCAAATAACATATTGCTTTCAGGTAAAGACAACTTCTGACGCTAGAACATTATGCCCCTTCCGATATCTTGGAATTTCTCCAATAAGCACAGTATTCCCTCGGCGCTGACCTGCTGGGGAAGATCCTTGTGGCGCCGCAGAGCGGACGGGCAATGACTCGAACTTGACGCTGGCGCCGCTAGGTGGCTGCAGGTCGAGCGTGGGCGTCGGAGGGGTGAAGTCGACGGCCGAGTCATTCTCCTCGGTGGCCGTGGAGTCAGAGAGATCGTTCAGCACGCCCGGAGACGTGAGGAGACCCGGCTCATCGTCGATACACTCCTGAAACCATCGCGCACGCAGTCACACTGGCTGCCGACCCCCCATAGGTGGCGGCACGTCACACGGTCGTCGCCGATGATGACGGAAACGGCCCGGACGACAGCTGAGGCACACTGCCCCGAGACGTGACGGTTAGTACGCACTTCTCCCGCATCGTAAGTTTGCGTTGCACGAGCAAGCGTGCATTAAGTTTGACCTCAGGCTGTTAGGATGCATGCTTATAAGGGCGACCTTTCCAAATCCACATCCTATTTTGAAGTGCATTGCAGGAGCGCCACCGATTCCATGAGCCAAGACGCTACATAACCTACTACAAGACATTCACAACGGAACAGGAAACGGAGGGTAAATTTGCGTAGAGTTGCAGGCGCCCACAGACCAACTGTACGCATGACCCAGACAGAACCAAGGTTCCACCAGGAACCAATAAAGTTTTACACTAGAGATGAGAACCAGGACTCGCAGGATTTCAACAAAGTCGGATAGACTCCAATTTTAGGAACCATGTTATCGTAGAAACGAGAACCCGAACCCTGAAAAGCAGAATTTGAATCCTGAAGACCACCCTGAATTTTTAAATCGATTATTCAATGACGTTATGAGCCGTACGAATATTGCCTACGGTCGCATGTTCTTCATGTAAAAAGCAATACATTTATGTAGTTTCTGCAAAGGACTGGGCCATCCTTCCTCATTTGTACGTAATCATGCTTGTCCGAGATTTTGGTGTGAAAATTCAAATTTTTAAAAGAATTTATTCTAATCTCGAACCCAAATTCTAAGCAAAATCTGAGTTCACCGACACCAAGGGCTTGAATAAAAAGGCTGCAAACCCCCCCTCGCTCGATCACAGGTGCTCGGCCGGATTCGAATTGCCAACGTCAGAGCGAATTACATGAGGTGGTTCCCTTGACAAGGATTCCGCGATCAGAACGGATTAGCCTTGCTAACTCTGTTTCAGTACGAGTAACGCCCACCGCAGTAAAACCATTCATCGCATCGGCAACATCCGCGCCGCCATGGCCCCCAACGGCAAAGTCAGCATGATCCGCAAAACAGTCCGGGGAACGACTACCAACATCCGCATCCGAATCAACCCCAATCAGTCGCGTCACGTTCGCCGCGTGGGGCACACAGCCGCCCGCCCGCCGTGAGAAGGCGACCGGATGGCGCGCCGGCGGCGCCACCGCCGCGCGGATCCCATTACTGGGTCACTCGGAGCCGGGCTTCGCCGGAAGCCCCACGCGGAACTCGGGCAAAACGCGGCGGCATTCAGCACAAGCGGGCTGCCAGACGCTCACGTGCTCTCGCTCTGAGACGCGTGCCTCTGTTTGGCTGTGTGAAGCCGTCGGGATCGAGGGCAGCCGGCGTCTGTTCAGGCGTCCACTTCGTGGCCTGCACTGACCAAACCGCCAGCTCCGAGGACTCGGGGAGCAATTTACTGGCGCATCCACAGGAACCCGCACAACAGGGTATTACGACGGCGGTGGCCAAGCGGCACACACACACACACACACACACACACACACACACACACACACACACACACACACACACACACACACACAGCGCTATGGAATCAATGTGTAAATGGAGCAATAACCAAGACATTTCATGACGCCGAAATGATGCAATTAATAAAACGTATTCATTACCCTCCATAAACAACACTTTAACAGAAATAAGCTAGCTCGGAGAAGAAAATATGTGTAAATGCAGAAACGTTCAGTTAACAGCGAAACATAAAACCTAAGCCGAGTCGGGAAGCGGTGCACCAATCCTCGTCTCTGCCGTCAAGAGCCCGTGTACCGATCCTCGTCCCTGCTGCCAAGAGCCCGTGTACCGATCCTCGCCCCTGACGTCAAGAGCCCGTGTACCGATCCTCGTTCCTGCCGTCAAGAGCCCATTTACCGATCCTCGTCCTTGCCGTCAAGAGCCCATGTACCGATCCTCGTCCCCGCCGTCAGGAGCCCGTGTACCGATCCCCGTCCCTGCCGTCAAGAGCCCGTGCACCGATCCTCGTCCCTGCCGTCAAGAGCCCGTGTACCAATCCTCGTCCCTGCCGTCAAGAGCCCGTGTAGCGATCCTCGTCCCAGCGACGCTCGTGCGAGCCTCACCTCCTTGCCGTTCGAGGAGAGATCGGGCTCGTCTCGACCGATCTCCTTGCGCCATACGCGCACCATGGTCTCGAAGGCCGAGTCACGGCTGAGCAGGCTACCGAACACGTGGCGGCCTTCGCTGCTCACCACGGCCACCGCGTTGGGGATGATGCGCGCCGTCTTCTCCTTGGTGATGGCCAGCACCAGCGAGCACGGAATCAGTATCTGGAAGCGTGGACCAGTATATGGTGACGCGCGAACAGTATCTGGCGGCGCGAGCCAGTATCTGGTGACACGGGAATATTATTTGGCGGCGCGGGCCAGTATCTGGTGACGCGCGAACAGTATCTGGCGGCTCGGGCCAGTATCTGGTGATACGGGAATATTATTTGGCGGCGCGGGCCAGTATCTGGTGACGTGGAAGCAGAATCTGGCGGCGCGAGCCAGTATCTGCTGACACGGGAGCAGTATCTGGCGGCGCGGGCCAGTATCGTGACGCGAAAGCGGTATCTGGCGGCACTGGTTATAATCTGGTAGCACGGGGCAGTATCTGGTGGCGCGAGCCATTATCTGGTGACACGGGAGCAGTATCTGGCGGCGCGCGCCAGTATCTGGTGACGCGGGAGCAGTATTTATCGGTGACATTTGGCAGCACGAAATCCGCACCTTGCAGTACGGTGTCGGTATTTGGTGACAGGTCACTGGGAAGGTAAGATTTTAAAATTGATATTACGAGCAACACCACGAGATGCATGCTGCACGGTTGTCAAGTTGTGAACTACTGCGTCTCTGTCCTGTGCTTTTGGCTGCGCGAGTACAAGAATCTGAGCGTCGAACGGTAACAAAGCTTTATGACATGATACTACGAAGTGGCACATATTCATAACATTCATGGGGTGCAAAGCCATCTGGGTATTATTTCATTACCTGGGACTGAACCGACTATCCTGTTTTGTATTGAACCATCGTAAGCCACAAGGTTGATGCGTATGACAATCAAAACAATGGAGAATGGACGCTTATTTCACGCGTGTTTACGTGCATTCACCATTATGAGGGATCGATAACCATTACTTATGACCTCGGTAGCATTTATTCACGCATATTTTTAGGACGCAATACGGCAGGGACATCCAACGTCAATTACTGCACTGGGCTAATCCAATATCGGTCTCCGCTAAGTGTTTTCACGACAGAAAACCGTGGCAGGGGGACCCCAACTGCCCGCATGTCATGATAATTCAGTTTGTCATCAATATAGTGGCAACCTGCCTTGTTCTGCGCCATGATGGCGTGGCCTAAGAAGATGAAAAGAGGGTGGAAAAGGTGAAAGGCGAACAAGTGACTGGCGGGGTACAAACGACGACGCTGTGACTTACCCTGGTAACGTGCCCGAAGAGGTTGGAGTAGAAGGCGAAGTGATGACTGGTGACGTAGAGCCGGCCCTGCAGCAGAATGTCGCTCACCAGCGCACATGAGAACGCTGAAACACCAGTGGTGACCACGCCCTCAGGCACCATTCCCACTGCTCACCACACGGCCGAAAGCTGACAGACACGAATAAAAACGATTGATATAGCACGTTGCCTTGTTCGGAGCGCGGCGATGCTGTTTTGAAAGATCATCGATCGTGAAAACTGCAACATGGTGAAAATGCCGGCATCCGAATACATCATCACCAAACTTTTTCCCTTGCAGCTGGACCGTGAACGTCCAATTTCAGCTGTATTGCGTGCAAGCTGCGCTTTTGGACAAACGTGCTGCCCCATCAGTATTGTGCTTAACGTCATAAACTCCCATTTCGCGGAACTTAGAATGCTACTACCTCGCGCACCAGCGGTGTTCTGAGCATTCCAATCTCGTGTCTTCTCTAGCTTCCATTTCATGGCAGCCTTCAGTCCCTATCTCGCAGTTATTCCTAGCCCCGTCTCGCGGCCTAGTCCAGCCACGTTTCACACGGTCTTTACGCCCTCCTCCCTCCCCCCTACCCCACCGCCAACCACCTTCCCACGCCCCCCCCCCCCCCCCCCCAGCGGCCCGGCTCTGCCCGGCCCCACTCACATTTAACGATCTTCTCGTGGGCGTCCAGGTCCTTAAAACGCCGCAGGAACTTGCGCTGCGAACGTGACACTTCGAACGACGGCTGCGAGTCCAGCCGGTTCATCATGGGGGTGCTGCGGCTGAGGCTGCGCAGCGCGTGTCTGGAACACGGCGCGGCGTCCGTGAGGAAATGGCCAGGGCGAGGCGCCGCGAAGCAGCACAGGAAGGTCTGCAGCACGGCGCGGCGCGGCCGAGTGTATGGCGAGAGCGAGGCGCGAGGCACCGCGAGGCAGAGCAGGAGACGGGGGACCAATTCAGACGCGCTTCGCGGTCCAGCAAACTGTTGAAACTGACTCGAGTATAAATGTCACGTAATGTTTCCATCTACAAAAGCCATTGCCGCCGGCCATTACGGCTCGCTCGAGGAAAGAGTTAATGTGTTGACGGCGCTTGGGCTCCAGCAGCAGCGTCGTGCCGTCGTCGCCTGGAAGAGCTCAGGGCGTGTCCTCATGGCGGGGCGGCCGCCGTCGAGCCGATGGTGAGGGCCGATGTGATGTGATGGCGTCGTGTGACGTGATGAAGACATGTGATGTGATGACGAGATGCAATGTGACAACGTTATGTGATGACGAGACGGAATGCGATAACGTGGTGCGATCCGATGACTTATGTGATGTACTAATGCGATGTGATGTGATGATGTGTTTGATGCAATGATGCGACGGCGTGTCTGACATGATGATGTAATGCGATGTGGTGACGCCATGTGGCATGTGACGTGATGATGAGTGACAGGCGTGTGTAATGTGATGACGGGATGTAATGCCAAGACCGACTTTGAATCCGATAACGGAGTGTGATATGATGACGGGATGTGATGTGATGACGGGATGTGACATGATGACCGGATGGGACGCGATGGCGGGACGTGATGCGATGGGTAGGATGAGTGATTCGGCAGGTGTAACGCGGTTCACGCCACCGGCTCCGCGATGTCACAGGGTCACGCGCAGGCGACGCCACTACGTGAGGGGCAGTGAACACTACCGAACCGGTACGTGACAGCCGCGGATGTGGGTCAACGGCACGCGGAGAGCCATCGCCCCGGCGTGGCCCTCACCGAGAACGAGTCGCGTCGGACATGTGACGTGATCGTGACGTGCTCATGTCACACACGTCGTCCCAGAGGGGAGCTGGGCGGGACGATCGGGTGGGGTTCGTTATCTCGATGGGCTTTATCGGTCATGATGAAGCTTGAGACGGGACGGATGGGCTAGAAGGCGCCTCGAATCTTACATGCTGGTTTTTAGTCGCGTGACGCGGCTGGGCTGCTGTTGGGATAGCCGTTGGAGGCTGAAAATATCGCAATAGCTTTGAAGGAGGGGATTTTCCCAGCCTTTCCAAACGATACCCCAGTACCATCGATCCCGCGTGCCCGAAACGGCGAGCGAATACCTTCATTCGCATCATTTACTGCTTGAGAGCGTCCATTCAGAGCACAGAAAACATCCAAAACCTTGCTAAGCGCGCCTACCTAAGCACGCCATTGGAAACACACACAACGGTCTCCATGCCTTCTCAGCTGCTGAGTGGGACGCGTGTGCATCACGGACGACCGCAGCGCAGCGGGTTCATCGACCACGACGGGAAGATCTCTGTGCGGCCCGGTCGGGTCTACTCCCAGGCCCGGTCGGGTCTACTCCCTGGCCCGGTCGGGTCTTCTCCCAGGCCCGGTCGGGTCTACTCCCATACCCGGTCGGGTCTACTCCCAGGCCCGGTCGAGCCTACTCCCGGGCCCGGTCGGGTCTACTCCCAGGTCCGGTCGGGTCTACTCCCTGGCCCGGTCGGGTCTACTCCCAGGTCCGGTCGGGTCTACTCCCAGGCCCGGTCGGGTCTACTCCCAGGCCCGGTCGGGCCTACTCCCGGGCCCGGTCGGGTCTACTCCCAGGTCCGGTCGAGTCTTCTCCTAGGCCCGGTCGGGCCTACTCCCGTCCAGCAGTGCCCGCTCCGCAAAGGCGGTCGGCGCGCCTCCACGGGGACCGCAGCGCGTGTGGGCGGCGACGACTGAGAGAGACGCATCTGCCTGAACGGGACCTCCAGAACATGGCCTCCAGACTTGTCCGAGCAGGACCTCCAGAACAGGACCTTCAGACCTGTCCGAGCGGGACCTCCAGAACAGGACATTCAGATCTGTCCGAACAGGACCTCCAGAACAGGACCCTCAGATTTGCCTGAACAGGACCGCCAGAACAGGACCTCCAGACCTGTCCGAACAGGATCTCCAGAACAGAACCTTCAGACCTGACCGAACAGGACCTCCAGAAAAGGACCTTCAGATCTGCCTGAACAGGACCGCCAGAACAGGACCTCCAGACCTGTCCGAACGGGACCTCCAGAACAGGATCTCCAGAACAGGACCTCCAGACCTGTCCGAACAGGACCTGTCCGAACAGGACCTCCAGCTGTGGAGCCGCGCAGTCTGCGCGGCTCAGACCGGGGCTCAGGGCTGACTGCGGTCTCAGGAGGGCTCGACACAGCCCACGCTTGAAGCAGCTCAGCAGATGCCCTTCCGGCAGGCCGCAGCTGCAGGCCGCGGCAAGTGGGCGGCTCGCGATCGACCTCAGCCGTCTGCCTCCCACGCGGCATGCGACGTTGATCGGCTTCCTCTGCGGCCGAACAGGCGTTCGCTGGGCGTCGGCCCTGTAATCCACTGTAACGGGCCCGGTGCCGCGCGAGCCTCCCAGCCGCGTCATTCGTAAGCTTCGATCGAAGTGACCCACTTCACTTCTATTTGTGCTCCACAGCCCATACGCAAACTACTTTCCAGCGCGGTGCGCGCTATCGGATTTTGATTCATCGACCGTCCACTTTGCAACACGACGGAGCCACCCCGATGAAGTCTGCCAACGGCACCCCACAACGCGGATGACCCTGGCATGACCGTGCACCCTTCAGGAGCAGCACCGGACCTCCGCCTGACCACCAAAGACTGGAAGCCCACGGACGCCGCTGGGTGCTGCCATTTACCCGAGCTGGTCCACGGAACTGTGACAGAAGGTCGGGCAAGCTTCCTACACGCCCACTAGGCACATCACGGAGCGTGAGGTGGTCCTCACGGCTTCCGCCAGCCGCGAACGCACCCGGAAGCGGCTATTGCAATCGAGGTATATACATATACATGTGTACACACACACACATACATATATATATATATATATATATATATATATATATATATATCGCTCACTGTCGCTCACTGTCACGTACCATTGTCTATGTACTTTAACATTGCTTTTTAAGCCGATGGCTATCATTGTCTTTGACGTGAGCTGCAATAGCACATTGGGCAATGCTCTTCATCAGTGATTCATTCTTTGTCACGCGTGGCATAATCCGTCGGTTCTCATCGAACAGGAAAGAAGCTCTCGCACAACACATCGTTGCAACTGAAAGACCGCGACAAAAATAGCCCTAGCTTCCTTGTCGGGGCCATTGACAGAACGGCACGTGCATTGAGAAACGTGAAAGACGGGCATTCAGAGGCGTTACTGCTAGGCGGGTGAGACTCAGACATCACAGTCTGATGGCACCGAATCCCTCAGGCCTCAAAGGCTGCCAGCTCCGGATGGATCCTGTCTGCTTTGTCTTTTATGAGCTTCCTGACATCAGGGATGGGGCACTCAAAGAGTCAGAGATGCTATCAGCATGTGTTGTGAGACTGACTGTACCATACCAGGAATAATGTCAATCACAAGTCACACCGAGCGCGCGAGTGGCAGGCACTGTACATGCGCAATCTTTAACGGACTGGCTCGGCAGACTGGACACAAACCGAAGAAAAAAAAACTCACACAAACGCTCATTAAAAGATGCCTGGTAAAAACTACACCGCGCCAGTGACGGCTAAAAACTACTCCTAACCGCTTGGCGACTATACCGGAAATGGGGCGAACCAAGTCTAGAATGATGCTCTGGTGCAAGGCTCGAACGAAGGCGTGCCCAGCAGCACGCACTCTGTAGAGATGGCGTGCCAAGCAGTACATGCTCTCGCGAGTGCAAGCTAAGAACCACGACCCATTCTCCGCTGCAGCTGACACCCTGCTCGGGACACTCCCACCCCTTCCATGGCATGGTTGGTACTCCACAGTGGCCTGGTATGGCCTGTCCCGCTCCACCGCCGTATCGTCGGGCCTGTCCCGCTCCATCGCCGTCTCGTCGGGCCTGCCCCGCTCCACTGCCGTCTCGTCGGGCCTGTCCCGCTCCACCGCCGTCTCGTCGGGCCTGTCTCGCTCCGCTGTGGCCTCGTCGGGCCTGTCCCGCTCCGCTGCGGCCCCGTCGGGCCTGTCTCGCTCCGCTGTGGCCTCGTCGGGCCTGTCCAGCTCCGCTGCGGCTCGTCGGGCCTGTATCGCTCCGCTGCGGCCTCGTCGGGCCTGTCCCGCTCCACCGCCGTCTCGTCGGGCCTGTCCCGCTCCACCGCCGTCTCGTCGGGCCTGTCCCGCTCCACCGCAGTCACGTCGGGCCTGTACCGCTCCGCTGTGGCCTCGTCGGGCCTGTCCAGCTCCGCTGTGGCCTCGTCGGGCCTGTCCCGCTCCGCTGCGGTCCCGTCGGGCCTGTCTCGCTCCGCTGTGGCCTCGTCGGGCCTGTCCCGTTCCGCTGCGGCCTCGTCGGGCCTGTATCGCTCCACTGCCGTCTCGTCGGGCCTGCCTCGCTCCGCGGCGCCCTCGTCGGGCCTGTCCCGCTCCACCGCCGTCTCGTCGGGCCTGCCCCGCTCCGCGGCGCGCTCGTCGGGCCTGTCCCGCTCCACCGCCGTCCCGCCGGGCCTGCCCCGCTCCGCGGCGCCCTTGTCGGGCCTGTCCCGCTCCACCACCGCCTGGTCGGGCCTGTCCCGCTTCACTGCCGTGCCGCAAGGCTCGCAGTGCCGTTTCCTCGCGCCCGGGACCCGGGACCCTCCGGGACCACCAGGAGGACCCGGGGCCGCGGTGCTGCCGCTCGCCCACCGGATCGGTCCGGAAGCTGCACCTCTGACGCCGGGCCGGAACCGGACTGCGGCCGGCGAGGTGGGGCTCCGAACCGTTGTACCCCCGCCCCGCCCTGCCCCGCCTCGGGCCACAG